GTGTTTCATGTTGCGAACGACCCCAAACAAAATTTCAAGTAAATATAGTGTCGTAATGTAATGCGTGTGGCATCCTCAATTGCATCATGAAGGCAAGGTCTCGGAAATGTGTGTTTGAAGTCGATTTCCGCCGTCTACAAGATGTTTTCGTGTACATGATATAATCGCATGTTTGTTAATTGGAAAAAATAAAGTTACTGTTACAATGCTACTTTACCATTATTTCTCGACAAGTTATCAGTATCAAATTTGCTTACGTAATCCCTTTTTTTTCTTTTTTAAGTTAACATAAATTGTTCTCATTACAGACTGTTTACATTCATGTCATGCAAGCTGTTTATATATGACCCTTATGCCATTAAAAAAAAAACATACTCTGTTTACGTATTGCTCAATATTCATTACTTATTTTGATTTGTTTGTATCCACATATGCATTGAAACCTTTTGTTCGTGCTCCACTATATTTCGCGTTATTCATTACATTTTCTTCTAATAGCTAAAAATGTCTGCTCATGGTCGTACTTGCATACACACAGACATTCAGTATTTCAGATTTCTCAAAGACTTTGGTCAGGTCTGGTTCGTATCATGAAACGTTTGCTTTGCGAAAATGTGGCGAGATGACGAAGTGGTGCAGCAACTGTTGCAGAAAGTGCAAGACGAGTTGTAAGCAGATCTGAAGACATGTGACACGAGGCGCAACTGGAGACTTCTGGGCGGGGTTGCCATGCGGGAAACGGTCGCTTTTTTTTTTTTTTTTTTTTTTTTTTTTTTTTTTTTTTTTTTGTGTGTGTGTGTGTGTGTGTGTGTGTGTGTGTGTGTGTGTGTGTGTGTGTGTGTGTCTATGTAGGCTGTAAGCTTGCCCTTTGCACTTGCCTACCTGTCCTTATTTCATTTAATATAGGAATTCATCTACCGTTGCGAATACACATGTGCACGCATTCCGTAAATATTTATGGTGACATTATTCGCTATTACACGTACATATATATACACACACATGCACATGCACAGACAGAATTCACGAGCTGGCACGTTTTTAGTCTTTAAGCGAGAACTTAAAGGCTATGGATGCTATATGACCTTAGATGTCTAGTACATTTATCTGAACCATTAACCATTAAAGGCTACGGAATAAAAGTAAAATGAACACAAAACATATAAATGGTCAGTATACGATAAAAATGACTCTTCTATATGCTAGTACTGAAAAACATAGTTTCAAATTGATTATGACTTTGTAGAAAGATTAAACAACAACAATTTTACCAATACGTTCAGATATCCATTATCAGCACGTATTCGTTCTGATAATTCATTCTTCGGTCTTTTCATGTGTGTGTGTGTGTGTGTGTGTGTGTGTGTGTGTGTGTGTGTGTGTGTGTGTGTGTGTGTGTGTGTGTGTGTGTGTGTGAGAGAGAGAGAGAGAGAGAGAGAGAGAGAGAGAGAGAGAGAGAGAGAGAGAGAGAGAGAGAGAGAATATCCTCATAGTTTCCTTTGTAAGTCATGGTCATTATCAGTATGATTATCATTTTGCTAGTTTTTTTTATATCATATTTCTGTTTGATTTCTGGTATGTAAATTCTTGCTAATTTTCATTTTTCTTTCTTCCTGTATTACATTTTCTTCTCTTTGCCCCTCTAAACAATAGGATGGATAAATAAAGAATAAAGAACTGTTTCACTAATGATATATCCTCACCTTGCAGGTACACAAGTTTTGTGAATGTATCCTACACAAAAGCATATAGAGTACGAACTTACACGTACTGCTTCAGCATTCCGCCCAAGTGTTCCAAGTACAAGATTGCGTATAAGACTTCTTTCAAGACACAGGTGCGTATTAGTTCTTGCCACATTCTACGTATGATGTTACAGTATATTTATTATCATTTTTATAACTTTTTACTGCCATACTCTTCTTCTTGGAGGTTAGATTAAGAATCTGTAAAATTATATTTTATATACTACATAGATGTAACAATATGATGTATAGGAAATTGGAGATATAAACAGAGTGACTTCTTCCCCCAAATTTTGCCATCTTTAGTATTAAACAAACAAAGTGAAATTATTGTTTTATCCACAGAGCCAAACCAAAACCCGGACTGTGGATGTGTGTTGTTCGGGCTTCACAAGAGTGCCAGCTGAAGACCGGTGCATACCAATATGTTCCCAAGACTGCATACATGGGGTTTGTGTCAAACCAGATGAGTGCCGTTGCGAAGCAGGCTACTCAGGCCCAAGCTGTAATATAAGTAAGTGTTGGATTGTTAAGTATTGGCTTGATAGATTTAGTGATTTTATAAATGACTTAGAGCTTCTCCCTCTTGAGATTAATGTAAAATGTACTTTTTGGCTTTGTAGAACTTTCAGCAAGAATTTATATAATAATAAAAGAAAGCATAAACAGAGGTGAGATCAGCTTTTAGTACTGATCCCGTTGTTTTTAGTATTGATTAATTGTCTTCTACTTTTATCAAGATTAGGCAACTTCGCTGCAACAAACCTTAAGTAATAATAATGGCCTTTATCTGTTAGGCAACTTGATGGAGTTTGGTATTGACGACACAGTGCATAATGCCCTGGTCCCGTGCTCTGGCCCGCAGTGCTATGTTTGTGAGTAGCACACGTATTCTCCCGGCACCCACCTCAGAGTTGTCTAGGCACCACTGGCACAATGATATGGGCTATGATGTGACATAGTGCCAACAACTTCATCTAATTATCAGACTGTGCTTGAAATAGCTTCAACACAATAAAGAATTGCACTTTCCACTCAGCAAAATACACTAACATTTGTTAATTTACTCCATTAAAGACCAAAAAGTGAAGTTTGCACATATGCACTTCAGAATGCTTAAATCAGAATTATCAAAAAAACAGATAGATTAGGTCTGAGTATTGAAAGTATAATGATAAACCAATGAGTTAAAATTCTAAAGCACAGCAACAAATTAATGTTTGCACAAATAGTCATTAAGAGTCAGCAGTAAATATTTAGCACCTGATAATGGAAGTTGTAAAAACAAAGTTTCCGTGATGGTGACTACTGGCACGGTTACATCAGGTGATGGTATGTAGCTTTCATGGCACTCATTTTATTGGTCACAAGGTGGGTGGCGGAGACAAGACTTGGTGCTAGTTGTAGAGGAGCTTAGTGGAAGGTCTCAGAGACCAGGGTCTTCAGTGGAAATAGTTGCCCTAGGAAATTTCTTTTTATTATTATTATTTTTATTATGGTTTGCTTTCCTAACAGCTTTTCAACAAACATACTGGCTGTACAGTTATGTGAAGGGCCTTCTCTAATGAATTTTAAATATGTAACTATAAAGTAAAAGGTGGTTTGTAGAGCATAAAGTGTAATGCTGTATTAAAGATGAGTTTAACTTTAGTACATATAAAATGTTTAAGATTAGGTCATAGTTTACTGAAAGAAGGGTTGTTTCAACAAAATCCAGCTACTTTTGTATGTGGAAGATATGCAACATGAGCCATTTCATATAACTGTTGTAGTCTGATTCATTTCAAGGTTTACTAAACAATGCAAAGGTTTATAGGTTATCAACATTAATCATTATCTGTGGTGTGTGTTATGAATGTAGTCTTGTGTTCATGTATTATGTGTCCTTTTGTTATGTTGACTCACCCCATCCTAATTTGTTTTCCTTGGCCAACAGAAATGAGGGGTAAGTTTTATTGAAAATAAATTTTGATAGCTATTGGCTGATAATTGCACTTAGCCAGTCAGAGCTTTACTGATGATGGGCCAGCAGTCACATTTTTAAGAGGGTTAAGAATTTTTTTATCATCATATAATCACAGGGATCTCAGAATGGGTTATGACCAGCAAACCTGTCCTCAAGCAGTATGCAGTTCATTGTCTGTTTATGTAATAATTGCAGAAATTAAAGGACTCATAAGGCTCAGCAGCCAATATAGTGCAGGTACTGTATGGAATACATTGTGTCCTATAAAATAAACAAGAATTGATGGATTGTTTATTTATAAAGCTTGCCAACCCATCTCTTACAAGTGTGACTGTCTTTGAATCTTTTGTGTTTTTTGCGTGGCGCTGCATCCAAGTGGCTTTGGTGTAGGTCAAAAATGCGTGGGACCTCCGCCTTTTTCTAACAGTGACTCGTACATGTTATTATGTGCCATTTCAGCACTACCTTTGGTTTATGTCTTAGCTTTTTATCTGTTATTCTGTGAGATGTTGCATCTGGTTTGTGTACTGATATTATTCTTTCTTTACTATTTGGTATATTTATTTGATTTATTTTAATTTCTCTTTAACAGTGTTGAATTCAGCAATAGTGATGTTCAAGTTAATTTATTGCATGTGTAGAGAGTGTCTTTTTCTTTTAAGTAGAAAAGGTTATGAGATGAAAGACATAAAAAAAGAAGATAGATGTCAAGCTTTGCTAACAATGCTGTTATATGAAAACAGGTTTCTCATGCCAATATACTGAGAAAAAAATTTTCATATTGGTTAACTTCAGCTTGCTCTGCTAAGTAGAAACTAGTGGATGTAATTTTCCCAAAAAATATAATGATGATGATAATAGTTTTTTAGAAACATGTTTATCCTGAAGCAAAAGAAATAAAGGATACATGGCCTTGTTTTGCATTTAATTTTCTTATATAAATTCTGTATTTTATGGATGCAAATGATATTTTACTCTAAATTATTATATGATCTTTTCATAATTTGAAAATTTAAATGTTATGGTATGTAAACCAAAAGAAGATAATTGTTAACTCTAAATTTACTATGAATGAATACTTTGTGCTTGTATTATGCTATTTGATGTCTTTTTTTCATATTACTGTTTCATAAATATCATACTTAATTGAAAGTTACACATTTATTTCTTGCAACATTTTTCTAACAAGATTTAAACATGACATATTCAGAATATCCCAGCAAAAGATCTTTTCTACTCTTGAAGGTTAAATGGATTTATGGAGAAGTGTGTGTGTGCTTATACATAAAAGGTTATAGATAACATTAAAGGGAATATTTGATAATTATCTCTCTTAATTTTCTACAGCCTGTCCAGAAGGGAAATGGGGCATGGGATGCATCCATGACTGTCCCTGTTTACACGAGGGGAAATGCGACCCACTGTATGGGAATTGTTCATGTCATGCTGGCTGGATTGGTCCATATTGTGAAGAGAAATGCCAGGATGGGTATTATGGAGTGGTGAGTTGAATATTGTTTTTTATGAACTGTGTATTTATATTGTCATTTATGTCCATATTATTTATTCTTATTTATATTTTTGATAATTATATTCTCGGCTTTGTTATCCTTATTCATTCTCGCATTGATTTTTCTTCATTTTGTTCTATTTTTTTGCTTGATTTTTTTTCTTCTTCTTTTTCTTTTTCTTTCTTTGTGGAATTTTCTGTATTGTGATATATTGTGTCAAATATATATACAATTTCTTTTTTTAGAAGAAAATTATTTTCCTCCCACTGTCAGTTTCTTTCTTTTTTATTTGTTCATACATTTCATTTCTTAATTTATTGTTACTATCAAGTTAATGATTAAGTCTATTTGAAAATAATTGCCTTGCTCTTACCTCGCAGTTAATGTGTATCCCATATGAAACAAAATACCAGAATGGATAACAGATATAGACCCATAAGGAGGTAGGTAGAAAGTGAAATGTAGTAGAACTACTGCTTTATACATGATTAAACACAAAGAGTCTTCCATCAGGATTGCAAAGATCGCTGTCGCTGTCAGAATGGAGGGACTTGTGACCATGTCTCTGGGGCATGCCAGTGCTCCCCAGGCTGGACAGGACCCCTTTGTGAGAAGTCTTGTCCAGAAGGCACACACGGCACTGCCTGCAGTAACAAGTGTGCCTGTCAAAATGGTGGACACTGTGACCCTGTCAATGGGAAGTGTCAGTGTCCTCCTGGTTGGACGGTTAGTAATATTGTTTGTTTTTGTTAATAATTGAATGAGAAAGATGTTGTTTTGCTCTTGTATTTTTCAGTTCATCAATAAATTTTTTGTTTCAGGTTTCTTAAGGTATATATAAATGGCTATATGTATAGTGTATGATTGTATTACTTTCATCTATTAGGGAGATGTGTGTGCCAACCCATGTCCTCAAGGCACCTGGGGACGGAACTGCTCAGAGCTTTGTGATTGCTACAATTCTGCAACATGTGACCACATAACAGGTCGCTGCAAGTGCCCTTCAGGATATGTAGGAAATAAGGTAACAAAGACATGTGATATATGTTTTTATGAACAATGTAAATGTCTTGAAAAAGGTTTTGACCAGTAGATACAGTATTAATGAGAATTACTATCCCCTAATTTTACCAAATATTGAACAGTGTCAAGAGGAATGTCCTTTAGGGACATATGGGGTTAACTGCACAGAATCTTGCAACTGCCGCAATGGGGCCACTTGTTCCCACATCAGTGGAAGGTGTTTCTGCAAGGACGGATGGCTGGGCACCGATTGCTCAATGCCAGCGTGTCCCCCAGATCAGTTTGGAGCAGGATGTTCACAAATTTGTTCCTGTGAAAAACATAACACTGAAAGGTAGGAAATACACATGTTAATGATAACATTCAAATTTTTAAATATTTGCTGAAGATTATGGTATCCCATGATAAATGAGAAAAAAAACAATTGTTTTCATTTTTCTCTGCTAAAGAGAAAAAACTATTTGCATGCTTTATATTGTTCCCTTCCCTATACTGGTGATATCTATGACTGTTGTGCCCTTCTAAAATACTAAGTTGTTCACAGATGTCATCCTTGGACGGGTGAGTGTGAGTGCAAAGCTGGCTGGGCAGGTGAGACATGTAGTCGAGCCTGCCCCTTCTACAAGTATGGAGAGAAGTGCCAAAACAGTTGCAACTGCAAGAATGGGGCTTTTTGTGACCCTGTGGATGGCACTTGCATCTGTGCACCAGGTGAGATCAAGTTAGGTTAACCAGACAGAATAATGAATGAATAGTTCTACATGATTTATAGATAAATGATTTTTAAAGAGATATGGACACTGTACCTGCCAAAATATTTTGATTGTTCAAAGTGCCATGTCCAGATATTAATTTAAATTTCCATAATGTGATAATGTATGGATTCATTTGCAAATATTTTTTGACATTAAATTGTTGGAAAACAGAATTTCCTCTTCAGAAATGTTACGGTACAGTACAGTTTTTAGATCTGTATTATGTAATGATAGAGTTGCAGAGGGTGTTTTTTTTTTCATTTATTTGTATTTTAAACCATTTTCTTAACCAGGGTACCATGGAAAAGATTGCAGTGACCATTGCCCAAAACACAAGTATGGTCAGAATTGTGAACTGGATTGTCGTTGTAAAAATGCTCTTGGCTGCTCCCATGAGAGTGGAAAGTGTATTTGTAGTCCAGGTAATAAAATGTATTGATTTGTAATCTTCTGTCACTACACTCTTTTGTTTTAAGATATCTGTAAATTCACTTCTTATACCAGAAGACTTGAGCTTTGAATAATCTAAGGCAAAAAACATCCAAAGCTTAGTAGATTTAGTATGTTTAACATATATAATATCTTCCATGTTTAAGGTTGGGGTGGCCAGCAGTGTTCCTTAACATGCCCACTAGGTTTCTATGGTGGAAACTGCACTGAAGTGTGTGACTGCCAGAACAATGGTTCTTGCGACCCAGTGACTGGAAAATGCACCTGCGGCCCAGGCCATTTCGGGGACAAGTGCCAAAAGACATGTGATCAGGGCTTCCATGGTATGGCCTGTGTTAATCACTGTGCGTGTGTTGGACCCAATGTTGAAGGCTGTGACCCAGTCACTGGTAGATGCATCTGCAAGCCTAGTTTCCGAGGTTAGTGTTTTTTTCGTCTGTTTGGCTTTTTTGTTTTCTTGCAGTGTTTCTTGTTATAGAATTAGCCTTCTCATGCTATTTAATTTATGGATGTATTTCATAGATAAGGCCAGTGTGTTCCACTTTATACTTCAATCAAAATATATTCCGTTCCTGCCAATATATGAAGCTAATTAGCTAAAAGTGTCAAAAAACAAAAATTACCTTCTCACCCCATCCCCATCCTTTCAGGTGTGAGCTGTGAATCTAGATGTCCCCGTGGAAATTATGGTGAATCTTGCACAAAACGATGCGACTGCAAGAACAATGGGTCCTGCAATTACCAGAACGGAAAATGCATCTGCGAGCGAGGTTGGCATGGTGCCAATTGCAACACTCCCTGTAGGCCTGGCAAATATGGGGTTAACTGCAACCAGAACTGCCCATCTTGTGTGCATGGTCTGTACCTTGTCTTTCTGAACCTTTGGTGAAATTGAAGGATGATTGAAAATGGATTTTTTTTTTTAACTAAGAACATTAAATGTGGCAGTTTTGGTTGATGATTGTTCTTTTTAAATTTCCCAGGTAATGGTACATGTGATGCACAGGAAGGGACTTGTGTTTGTGCAGCAGGATGGCGGGGAGCAAGATGTGATCGAACATGTCCTTCTGGATACTGGGGGTTTGGCTGTAATAGTGAATGCAGATGTCGTAATGGTGCAGAGTGTAACCCAGAAACAGGTACATGTTTTCTTCTTATTCATTTTCTTTCTTCTTCGTCTTTCTTCCATCTTTCCTTCCTTCCATTTTTCTTTTTATTCTTCTTCCCTCCATCATCATCAGTCATCATCAATCTTCAGTCATCATAACCCTCCTCAGCAATTTTTAATCCTATTCTCTTTTGGGTGGTAATACTACCATCTTTGATATATAACTGCAAAAAAGTTATCAACTATTGTTTCATATAAACTAAATGGCACAAATATCTGCTGCAGGAGAGTGTCATTGTCTTCCTGGTTGGAGAGGTGCAGACTGCTCACAACCTTGCCCTCCTGGGACCTTTGGTTACAATTGCCTTCAAGCATGTCATTGTCGAAACCATGCTTCTTGTAGAGGCAATGATGGTTTCTGTGAGTGCAAGCCAGGATGGATGGGACCAGGGTGTACACAGAGTAAGTAAATGTGGCTGTTAGTCCATCATATGATTCTGTAATTGTCTTGTAGCCATGTGTTTATGAATATGTGAGTGCACAGTGCATATGTGTGTCTGTGCAGTAGTATTTATATCACAGAATAAAATCAGATCAGACAAATACTAAATATTACAAATATTTTATTTTTATGTATTCTATTTCAGCTTGTCCAGAAGGTTATTATGGACGACAGTGCCTGAATGTGTGCAATTGCAGCACTGATAATTTCATTTGTCATCCTGTTGAAGGCTGTAAATGTCGTTATGGATTTGAAGGCAAGTGAAGATGTTTTGATTAATGTGAGGTGAATAGAATGAAAATGTTTCCTGTTGTTGTTATTCTCTTCCTGCTCCTACTATATGAGCTTACTAGATAAACAAGAGTTGTGTTATTTAAAGTTGAATTTCTTTGGCCACAGGTGACATGTGTGATATCCCAATTACAAGTCCCATCAAAACAAGTGATGTTCCCTTCCTTCCAACTACACCAAGCGGATCAAATAATGCTGGACTTATTGTTGGCGTCGTGTCAATCATTCTCATCACCATTGTCATTGCAATCATAATTTATTACAGGTAGATAGTAGAAGGTCTACACAGACATGTATTTTCATTTAAAATCCACAGTTCTGGATTTAATTATATGATTTTTTATATTTATTTTCTGTATGTTAAAGATTTAAGGGATTCATGATTTCAACTTTTACGTTATCAGCTCAGAATCATGCATAACAGATAGTATGATGTATTTGTAACAGATTGTATTGGTCATGCAATATTTCCTGGTAGTGGAGCATTCATGCATATCATAATTTGTATTACACAAGTCATATTTTTTCTCTTCTTTCAGACGAAGACTAAAAAGATTAAAAAGAGAACTTGCTGTTGTCCAGTACACAGCTAATCCATCAACAACAGGTAAGAGGTTTAAGAGCAAGATCATTTTCCACATCTTTTGTCTTGTTCTGTCACTATGTCTCTATCAGTGTTCCCTCAAAAGCACTGGATGCATCTCCCCATTGTGGTCAATGTAAATGTTCGTCTGGCTGGTTAAAGCGTGGATACTTTGTATTGTCTGTCCTTGGGTATCAGTGTTGGCTGTGAAGCACATTTTGATGTGCTTTTAATCCTCAGTCCTCAGAATGTTAACTGCAGTAGAAGCTCTTTGTAACATTGTAATATGTAATTAACCTATATTTATTTTGTTATTAACAACTTCAGTTTGACTGGTAACAATGCTATCAAGACCAGTTCTGTTAATGATTTTTCGCCATCTCTAAATGTGTCTAAAGTCTTTAGGTTTAATGATGTCTATATGCCTTTTAAGACTAACATAAACGCAACACTTTAGTGTTCATTTCTTGATCCATAACAAAGAAATGATTTAGTTTCATGTTGATTTATTTCAGCATACTTCATTTAATTTTACATGGCATGAAAACTGATTTTTATGTGTAAAAGTACTTGTACTGGTATTTTCCACAGTCTTTTGCTATTCATCTTTGATGTTTTGTTTACAGTATATGATGATTTATAAGCAATCAGGATTTTATACTTATAATAGGAATAGTATTAGAAGGAACACACAATGTTTTGAAGGGCTTTTACATTAGGATAGATCTCATGATCTTATCAAATGATGTGTTCTGACTATAGAATCACTGCAATGCTTTGTCAATGCAAAGGCAACAGATTAGTGCTGAACTTTATTTGGCTGTTAGATTATGCAAAAATTCTCAGCTAACAAGCTTCATTGCAATGCAACATTTAAAAAATCAGATTCTGCTTATTTTGTAGACTGCAGCTCTATAGTCACAATTAATTCTGACCTTCCATAGTAGATCTATACGGTGACTAAGATTCTGTGTATGTAACAGAAGTAAATACTTCCTGAGAAATTGAAGTCCTACAGTTACTATGTGATTTTTTGGTAAATCTTTAAAAGGTACCAACAAGACCAAAAGCAAAAGATAAGAATAATCAGAACCAAAACAGAATTTAGTCCACTGTTATTGAATATGCCAGGCCCCAACATGCAACATTTATAACCATGGCCTGTACAGCTAGTTAGAAGTGTACTGTAACTTTCTTTCCATCACTCTCTCTCTGTGCACGCTTACACACACTAGAACGCCCCAAGATGATCGAGAGCAAAGAGAGCACTAAGCTTCGTCCTTCTAATAAGCTCTCACAGAAGTCTGGTAAGATAATTTTCAAACACTTTGCATATTTTATGTTTTTAATGTATTAAATTTCTTTCTTTGCTGATATTCATCATAATTCATTGGATACTATCTCTTTTCCAAACTATAAAGTAAACTCTTTCCTGGTATGGTTTGTTGTATGTACCCAATATCTATCCACTAGCTATCCATATAATTGTGTAGACAAAGTATATATACATATATACACATATACACACAAATGTGTATATTGTATGTATATTATGTTTTCTCTTACTTGAGTCATGACTACCCTGGTATTCCCTAAGCATTTTACCCTAAATGTTCAGTGTTCAAAACTCCTATTTAACCTGCACAAATGTATATTCAGGAGGGTTTTTTTACTTCCACCTCAAAACATAGCCTGCATATAAATATTTCCTGACATATTGTTGTTGGTAATGCATTCTTTGCTGTTCATATAGAAGCCAAAATGATAAAAAGAAAAGAGTATTTTAAAAAGAGAACCTTTTGTGTCTAATTTGTGATATTTTACTCTGCTTTAAAGGACAACCGGTAACCAAAAGATGGAGTTCAATTGCAGGTATCATATTTTGAAAATAATTTTTACCTCTTTTTTCATTTTTCATTAGTAAGTGGTCACATATTATGATCAGCCTTCTTTCTTTTATCAGAACACCTACAGGTAATCAGCAATTTTGAATGATGTTGGGAGGAAAGTGTATTGAACGTCTTTTTACTCAAAAACAGTTTTTGAATGTCAGCTTGTTGGGTTTTTTCATATTGTCTATTTATGATCATTTATGTTGAAATCTCATTGATCTTCATTTTTATTACGAAAGATCTTTTTCTGATTTTTAAAAGAAATTTATGCACAAAATCCCTTGAGTTTCAACTTTAAGTACCCCCCTCCCTCATCTTTCTCCATATATAGGACATGGTAAGTTTGTAAAGTCAATAGCCAATCTCTTATTCTCAAACTAATCCTATCTAATGAATCAAGTTTGATATTTACCGGACAAACTATCTTATTGAATTGCATAGGAGACAAATAGTATTTTGTATTATGTAGTCTGCTATAAAATATAGATTAGTTTTCAGGTAATAACCAACCCTTTGATGATTATTTTTCCTTTGATAAATGCCTTTGATGAGGACATTGATAAAGTAGATGCAAAACTGAATCACATGAAAGTGATACATGTAGTAAGTGTCATTATATTGTTTTTATATATTCGCAATGCATTCTCTGATGTCTAAATTTTTCGTCCCCTTCT